GGGGAGGGGAGGGGGGGGAGGTTCAGGCTGGAGCTGTATTTTGAAATTTCCAGATTGTCTTTTCCGAGGTATTTCCTTGAAATGCATCCAGAGAGCTTATTAGTCACGTAAATAAAGAATAATATGGCAGCACTCGGCATCTGTCGTTAGGATGGACCGGAGAGGGATTAAGAGCTGTCCTTTTTATTGTAATTTTATTTTTTTTTCCTTTCCGCCTCTGATCCTGCGAAGAGCGTGGCGGTCTCCTCACCTTGCCAGGGAGCTGGGGGAAGCTGGGAACCTAACCCGTTTGTCATTAGGAGCGTCCTGCCTGCCAGCTTCTGTAGGATAAACCATATGTTGTCACAACACTATTTTTAATTTAGGGTGTTGGTTACATCACATCACTGAATTGGGCAATCTCTGTATGAGGATGAAGGTAATTACTGTACCAGGGTTTATCAACTTATATTATAATGAGTGTTTATCAGCATTATGGAAGTCAGTAGCAGTAAATGCCTTGGATAGAATGAGTTATTAGCTTTTTCTCTGAAAAAGGAAAAAAAAATCCAAAGAAATGCTTTCTTATATGTGAGGAAGGCCTTTTCTTTTGGGGGAGGGAGAGTAGGAAGACTACAGGCAGCTGTGTTAAATATTTTGGGAAGCTATTCTGAGTCCGTGTCACACATGAATAGTAATGTTTATTTTCTAAATGAATTCTGGTCTCTAGATTGTTTGGTGGCCACTGGCCACTAATGAACTTTGCTTCCTTCACCACCACCCAAAAGAGAAATAGTCAAAGGCTACTGGTGATTAAATGGGCAGGAAAGGATAAGGGCAGAAGAGCTCGCTTGTTTGTATAGTGAATAACGCAACAATTAGTGGGCTATTAAACACATATGCTCATTCTGCATTTGTTCTATAAACAGTTTCTCCAGCTTGTTGAACGTCTCTGCTTCCTCTGAAACGCTGTGTTATGGTGATGCCAAGAAGCGACTTTATAACACACCTTCGGAGCGTGTGTTTGTCCAGTCTGGGCTCTGATTTAATTTGGGTCTGCAGTAGGTAAATGGAAAAAATTTGCTAAGGCTTCTGCTCAGTTTGGTTTTAAATGTGGTATAACTGACGACAGCGTTGTGTAATATGTATAATGGCCTGGAATCCAATACTGTTGTTTGTGTTACCTGAAGTCCAACATGTGTGCAGTCTGACCTGTTTTATGCGCCGGGATAGCACGTCGGTGCGATTTCTGCGACAAGACTCTGTCTCTTTGCCAGAACGGGCAGGGTAATGTCTTCAGTTGCTTGCTTGAGTTTGTTCTTGGTCTAATAATAATGTATTGGGATTACATAATCCAAAAATGATCACCCAGCTGGGCGAGCTGCCATTTGTTTTTAGTGTCCCTTGTGCCAGAGCAGTTGCCTTCTTGGTGTGGAGCTGTACCATGTGTGGATCAGGCAGCAGGACTGTGGAGAAACAGATATTTGTCTTCTTGACCCTCTCTCTTGCTTGGGTCTCTGCTAAATTGTCCGTGTCCTGGTGAAGACGACCGTTGCGGGTCTGCATATTGATGCCCAACTCCATGTTTCAGCAAGCTGTTTCTGTACCATGTACAGAGAACGTGGAGCTGCTGCTGAAGAGGTCCAGATCACAGGGCCGCCGGCTCCTGCGGTCCTTAAACGGATTTCTTTCTCCAGTAGCAGGGGGGTACGCTCACCTGAAAGAAATCCGAGTCTTAAAAATAATACTGGCTTCGTAGGGGACACTTTAAGGTGTCGCCCGTCTGCTCCTTGTGAAACTTGCTGCCCCTGACACTGCTTCCACACAGTTGTGAAACTGTGCGCGCTGACTGCTGAGCTCTGCAGCTGAAGGCTGAGCGGTGGAAAATGTGTCCCAAGTCGATTTGTCCACTGATGAAATGGAGCCGGTCTGGTGTGTTAGCCTAAAACAACTCTTGGTTCTCCAAGGAGTGGAATTCTACATTAG